CCAGCGCGATTCCTTTGCACTCATTTAGCTGTAGTCAGTTTGGAAACTAACACACGAAACACTACTTGCAACAGAAAGATAGAAAACATGACACAGCTCAAGTCTGCAGCATTTACATCTTGGTGTGGCACTTACTTGCAAAGATTCAGCCTGACAACAAAACTTCATCACTGATAGAGATGTTTCTCTGTCAACAATACTTTAACTACCGGGAAAAACGCCACATATTCATGACAAAACCAAACTGCTTATAGGAACGCACTCCTTCAACAGCGTGGATGCAAACTGAAAGTCACATCTCAGATGACATGCTTCAGCTGGCATCTTCTTGCCAACATCAGCCCAGTATGAAGATAAAACTCAGGTTAGTTTCAGAAATTTCAAATGCACAGTGGTACCTGAATTAAAATGCAGCTTTATTTTCGGAGCTAGATCTGCACAAATAACACATCTAGCTAAAATACAACACGCTTGCACTCAAAGGCAATCCTAAACAAGTGATCTACTAAATCCCCCAATTCCTTGAATGAGAGATTCCCAAACGGTGGATAAGTAGTCCTAAAGCTTCCCACAAAAGTACACAATATAATTCTATCTTGCAGAAGATATAGAACAGCAAAAAAGGCTATATGCCTCCATGGAGACAGATTATAGGGCTCACACAAGATGCTACATTTCAAATTGGTGCAAATCATCTGATTTAAGGAACTATCCATGCACGCTCTTTACTCACAGCAAATGTAAAAATCTGAATTAGGAACACTACAGTTATTTGGAAAGTAAATTCCCCAAGGTTTGTTGTGTACTGCAGAGCTGCTAAGACCCACTGCTTTTAATAAAGTTTTATTCCACAAGGTTCGATCTGTCAGCAACAAAGAATGAACATCTCTACCAGGCCTGAAGACTGCAGAAGGGATAGCACAGACAGTTCAGACGATTCACGCTCACTGACAGACCGATCATAGCATGTTGGCCAATAAAATTTTAATGCTTAATGCATAAAGACTGTAGAAGAACAAACTGGTCTGTAAGCTCCCAAGAGGGGCTTCCTGCCATTAAGCAGCAACACAGCTTTTCAACCGGACCGCATAACCTCGAGCTAAGGTTTAGCACACCGGATGCTAATTAGCAGTGCAGGGTCAAAAGGAACAGCCATACCCCAGAACGTGCTAAGGGTTCATTCCTGGAATGCATAACAGTTGCAGTCTGACAAAGTTAAGCCACTTTTCCCTTAAGAATTAGGGTAACAGACAGAGCATGTACACAGAGACTTCGGGTAGACTTTTAATACACAGAAATAGTACACACAAGGTGTAAGACCACAGAATTGAGGAACAGCTTAGTTGGCAGCAGCCTCTGGGACCACCAGGTCCAACCCCTCCTCAAGAAGGAAAACCAAGAGCAAGGTGCTCAGGACCACATCCAGGCAGCTTTCGAAGACCTTCAAGGAAGAGACCTCACAGCCTCTCTGGGCAGCCTATGCTACTGTTCTCTTACCCACACAGCACAGAAGTGCATCCTGGTGTTCAGACAAACCCTTGTGTGCTGCTGTTTGTGCTCACTGCCTCTTGTTCTGGCACCAGGTGCCACTGAAAAGAGCCTGGCTCCATCCTGTGGTCTTTCACTGGACTCTCTCCAGTGTGTGCACGTCTCATGCACTGGGGAGCCCAGAACTGGGCACAGTACTCCAGCTGTGGCTTCATCAAGTCTGAATAAAAGGGAAGGATCAACTCCCTGAAACTGGCAATGGGGTGAAGAAGTAGAAGGATGGTCAGGGTCACTAAGTCATCAAACAGAAGAGATCTGCTCATCTAACCGGAAATGCTAGCTGCTCATAATGGATCGCATTACAGAAGCTCTAATCATCAGAAGATTTCATTGCCATCACCTTTCCTAGGTAATTTATGGGAAAGGGACAGAAAATCAAGGTGGTGGTAGCATTAACAGTATGCTGTATTAAATGGTCAGCAACAGAACTCTGAAATGGCAGAAAAAGGAACAACAGATACAGCCAGGAGCTGCGGTACCCGGGCAACAAAATAAAATGACCCTGCCCTTTAACAGCAGACATTTGAGGTGACAATCTACTTGAAAGCAGATCAGTGTCCAAACACTGCAACAGATCAGCGTGCCACCTCTTGCAGAGACAAAGGTGCTTCACGCTACTTAAAACAGACCTGCTCCTCTCTGGAGATGGCTGCCCTTCACTGCTTGAGTAGCTGCAGCTCCCGACACCTGCTTTCTAACACACAAAGGGCACGTTGTCAAGGCTAAGGAGAAAGGAAAGGTGTGTGCGTGCACAGAAGGAATAAAGGCAAACACGAGTTGGGCAAAGGAATCATAAAATTAAGTAAAAATATCACACTAAGGGATCGAAAGCTTCGGGGGCTTTGTGGAAGATGCGGAAAGCCAGGCTCAAAGCAGCTTTCGGGAGAAAGTTCTCAGCTTTAAGCCCTCCCTCCCGTTCGCTCGGACGCGGGCAGACACACCGAGCGCGGGGTTTCACCGCCGGCGCCCCGCGGCCGTCCCAGCGCCCGGCGCTCGGGAAGTGCTGCAGCGCCCCCCCGCGGCCGCTCCGCGCCGCACCGCGCTGACGGGGTTCTGCCGTCCCGGCTCTCGCCGCACAGCGTCCGCACTCGGCCATGAAAGGCCGCGGGGCACGCAGCCGCCCTCAAGGGGCCTCCTGCAGCTGAAATCTTTACTCGGTTATTCCGACAATATTAAACAGTTAACTCAGAGTAGATTGAATGGATTTAGGTCACCAGTGGATCTGTAAGAGAAACCTGTTGTTTCACTGCAATACCCCTAAAGCACACTGTTCCCAACTCCCCCTTTCAGGAGGCTTACACGCAGCACAGCTGGCAGCCAGTGACTGATGCGATCTTCTCAAATCGCGCTAGAGGACGCAGGCTCTGGAGTGCCCTCCATCCCCGATGTGCTCATTACCAAGAGGCACAGACCCTGACCCACATACATCAGGCACAGCAACGTGGCATACCTGCTGCAGGGCATTTGACTTTATTAGAAAAACGCTATCAGAAAACCAGAAAGCAGCAAAGAGCAACAACAGAAAAGGTAGTATTTAACGGTATTTCATACCGAAAACAGAGATCTGCTTCTGTCATGGGGTATCTGCAATCATTCCTGCAACTGTATGATCTCCACAGTAATTCCGGTGGTCCCTGCTGGTAGGTAGCAGCTTCTGAGCAACATTCCTGCTATTCGATCCCATCAAATTCCAGCTGTCATTTCAGCACAGTCCTGATGGCCATTTTTCAGGAGCTATTTCTCCCAAGACATCTCTATTCCTGCCGTGCTCTCAGTATCCTTCTCACTTTGTTAGTCTTGGTATCGCTGTCAGTCAAAACAGTTCCTGTCTCAGACTTTAAGAGAACTCACAGCATTTACTGCACCACCGCCTAGCCGAGCCAATTCCAATATTACAGTTCTCTCCCTCACACTAACAAAGCAGGCATGGCCAGGACACACACATTTCCCAGGCCACCCAACAAGTCACACATGGAATATTAATACTGACACTTCTAATCAGCATTCAAACAAGCAGAACTGCTGGCAGAAGCAAGAACTTTCAATGACATAAACTTAGCTTCGCAAAACAGTCACATTTTAAAAAATCCTTCTGATTACACAATTCAAAGGCATAGTCCAAGAATCTAAGTCTATTCCTGATGAACCGATGAGTCAAGATGATCTATGTTTTACACTTCAGAATTTGATCTCCAAGCTCATGCAATCATTAGCTCAGGCTGCTGACCAGAATTCTAACTTCAACTATGCACTGTCATTAGTGCATTATATGCATTAGTTAGAAAGAACAAAATCAGAATTATAACCATATATATGTATATAGAGGATATGACCATTTTCCCACATGCAGCTCCTTCCAGCTCCATAGAAGTTGCAGAGACCTGCATTTCACTTACCTCTCTATATCATAATTGCCAGACAGTATAAGAAATGGCAGAGCAACAAATTAGAACTTAATGTCAAAACTGCAACTGAATACTCAACAAGAAGGGATAGAGCAGCAGACACGTAATACTATTTGGCTCATAAGCTCTTTAACAATGGCTGTCAGTATAAATGCTATATCAGAATAGAAGAACAGATTCTTCTCTTAAAGAAAAATATAAAACACATTTATGATTCCCATGGACACGTCATGATATTTAAACAGTAAGCTGCTACTAAGAACCTCAGCACACACTGGGTTGTTTAAGCTGTCCAGAATGATTATGAGCAGTTGTGTTTCAAAAGTCACTGAACTGGAAACAAAGCTCAAAACATCACTTGCTGCAATGTTATAAGCTTCTATTCAAAATAAAATAGCACCTATTTTGTTACAGATATATATATATACACACACATACATATATATCAGCTACACTTACACAGTTGAAAAAAATCCATTCCCTGTATATATCCAGAGCATGTCATTGCAAATGAGATTTTTAATTAAAATTGGCATTTCTGAGCCTCCTACTGACTGACAGCCTCCTCCTCAGATGGCTAAACTGGCTTCCAAGAGAGATGGCAGAAAGAAACAAAATCAAAATGCTTGTCTTTAACAGTGCTCTGCTGGGGCCAGCAGGAAGCTACACAGCTGACCACTTTGGAAGTCTTCCATAACAATTGCTCAAGATATCACAAACAATACAAAAGGCTTTTTATTCCTAACCCTACATGCAGGATGACCAGGTAGGACAATTTTAATCAGAAGCCACACTGTTAAAGAGAACACAGAACACTATCAGCACTGCAGTAGGTGCGGCCCTCTTCAAATGCAAAAGTAGGCTTAGGGACTGGCCAGAGCCTTGAGTGGGAGGTTGGCTCAGCTCTCAGCAAAGCCTCATCTCTCACAAATAAGAGGCAAAGATAGGCCCTCAAGTCAAATCATGAACGAAAAAAAAAATACTTCCTTGACCTGATCACTTCCCCAGTTTAACGCAAAGAATTTGTACTGAATGCCATTACAGTACCTTCGGGAGGTTCTTCCCGTAGATGAGGGGGCAGATCTTCACTTGTCGTCTCAGTTTCATCTTCCACCATCTGTGTTTCTGTGCTAGGTCCCTGCAGAACAGAACAAGACGAGGTAAGTTGGAGAACATTCGGAAAGGAACCACAAAACTAATTACTGGATTAGATAATATGCCAGACGGTAAGGACACGAGGGGCTCCTTTCAGCTCACAAAGAATGCTGCTGGTAGATTTGTCTGCAGTCTGATTACTTAAAGGAGGGGCAAAAAATAAAATAAAATGACTCCTCAAGCAAGCAAAATCAGCAACTAAAAAAGTATGAGGGTCTGAGTGAACTAAACCAAACTGATAATTTAGAAATTTTCACCTTTCATTTATAACACATATGATGGAATCATCATTTCAAATCCTCCTTTCCCAAGGGTGGCAGTGGATTCACCACCAGTTGGAAGTTTCAAGAAAAGAAATACGATCTTTGATTTAAAAGGATTCATGTACATCTCACCAAGACTAGGTTCTTAAACTTAAACTGGTGCCCTGCTGAATGCAGTAGATAAACACGAGTTATACAAATGGTCCTAACACTTCATTTTTTACAGGAAGATAAAACAAACTTGCTTACTGTCTCCTAACCCAACCAGCTCTATTGACTACACTGTCTTCCCCTATCAGTCACACTTGTATCTACACATGAAACACAAATATCTATCGGAAAACCACCAGATTGCTCTCCAAAGTCCTGCAATTCTTCTTCCCAGCCTTCAGGATCTTGGAAAGAGCCTCCAACATTGCTTGCGTACAGATATGAGCTGATTTATCAGATTTGTCAACTTTGAGAGCATTCAGCTGCATTTAAAGTCACTGAATTCACTGCAGAGCTAGGAAAACATTGTTGCCTTTTCAATTTTAAAGTATCAAAGAAAAAATAAACAAGGTCCAATCTTCCCATTCCCACTCCTCTTCTAAGTAAAGGCAGAGTAAACAGTCGGGATAGTTAAGGAGCCTTCTTTTCTAACACAGTCAAAGTGAAATCAGAAATGCAGTACCCACTAGAAACAAAGCTCTGGGGCTCTTTGGAAACATATCGGCTTGTAGTCCAGACTACCTGAAAATGTATATCAACATACACAAGTACAAGTCCACAAGTATACAAGCCTACTACATGTGCCACTGTTGTAACCTCGACTTCAGCCATCCACAACTGCACAAACTTTACCTAAGGCTTGAAGGAGGATTTCCTCTGCATTTAAAAACATCTGATATCAACAGCACCCAGCTTTGATTAAAGAGATAAAATCACTACAATGTACTGGTTAAAACACTGCATCATTCTTTATAGTAGTTATCGTGGAAAGGAGGAAAAAAAGTACATTTACCATGAAGCTTAGATAAGAAAGCAGTAATTGGACTGAAATAATCTGATCCAAAAACTCAAACTGAAAAATCAGTTACGGACAACAAGGTCTATCCCATCCCTTCACCTGAACTAGTATGATCTATTTTTTTAAGAATGTGTAAAGAAAATTCCAGACAGGACCAGGAAATTGAATGGAGTATACACTTCGGTACATTTCTGTATCAGCCACAGGCAGCATATTCCTATACATTTCTATCCATTAATGCCACAGAGGGAGAAAGGAAAAGACAACTATGTTAGTGCACTAAAACAAGATGTATTTTCATATTAAAAATGTAGACACACAGGACAAAAGGTACCAATATTTCACTGCAAATGCTCTGAACCATAACTGTAAGAGTTCCAGACTACAAGGTCTCCTAATCCTTCACCCGTGCTTTCCAGCTTGCCAGATCAAAATTTCTCAAGAAAACAAAGCAAACCAATCCACTTACAGAATCCTACACACGAGGCAAAGCTTAAGGCCATACTAATTGTATGCAGCCTGATGAGACATGCCGAGTGCCCAGGACTAAAGAAAAAAGCAGACATTAACTACAGATTAATTACTACAGAAGAGTCAGCAGTCTCGCTTTGCTACCATTAGACAAACCCTCTCAATCGTTTATCTTGATAACAGTCAATGACAGCAAAGCCCCTTTGGTTTACATCTGCTGCCATTTCCATCAGTACAAGGATGCAAAATGCTATTAGAAACACTATGTTTTGTTTTCCTCCTTAAGCACAACCTAACTAGCACTCACCAAACACATGGCTCTCCAATATAGTGGTTAACATTGGCAATGCTAATCCTGACATTTTATTTTAGTTTGATGTTCAGCTTTAGCCCTGAGCACTGAATTCCATCCTTTACTTGATGCAGCAGGGAATGTGACCACTGAGGATAAGGAGAAGGCTGAGGTCCTCAACTCCTTCTTTACATCTGCCTTTAATAGGCAGATCAGTTATCCTCAGGGACCCTGATCTGGAAGTCTGGGATGCTACGCAGAATATACCCCTGGCTTCTCCTCCATCTGGACTGTCACAAGTCCATGGGACTGGACAGACTTCATCCTAGGGTGTCGAGGGAGCTGCCAGAGGTGATTGCTGAGCTGCTCTTGGCCATCTACCAGCACTCCTGGTTATCTGGAGAGGTCCCAGAGAATTGGAGGCTTGCTGATGTGACTCCCATCTACAAGACGGGCCATTAGGAGGATTGAGAGAACTACAGGGCGTCAGCTTGACCTCGGTACCAGGGGAAGTAATGGAGCAAATCATCTCAGGTAAGATCACATGACATGTGCATGGCATCCAGCACAGGTTCATGAAAGGCAGGTCGTGCTTGACCAACCTCACCTCCTTCTATGACTGCGTGACCAGACTGGTAGACGAGGGAAAGGCTGTTGAGGTAGTCTACCTAGGTTTCAGCAAAACCTTTGACATGGTCTCTCATAGTATTCTTCTAGGGAAACTGGCTGCCTGTGGCCTGGACAGGTATACTTTTCTTTGGATAAGGAACTGGCTAGAGAGCTGTGCCCAACGGGTAGTGGTTGGTGGAGTTAAGTCCAGCTGGAGGCCTGTTACAAGCAGTGTCCCCCAGGGGTCAGTACTGGGGCCCATCTTGTTTAATATCTTTACTGATGACCGAGGTGAAGGAATTGAGTGCACCCTCAGTAAGTTTGCAGATGACACCAAGCTGGGAGGTAGTGTCGATCTGCCTGAGGGTAGGAAGGCCCTTCAGAGGGATCTGGATAAGCTGGATCACTGGGCTGAGGTTCAACAAGGCCAAGTGCTGAATCCTGCACTTTGGCCACAATAGTCCATGCAGCTTGGGGCTGAGTGGCTGGATGACTCTGAAGAGGAAAGGGATCTGGGGGTGTTGGTTGATGCTTGGCTGAAAATGAGCTGACAGTGTGCCCAGGTAGCCAAGAGGGCCAACAGCATCCTGGCCTGCAATAGAAATAGCATAGCCAGCAGCAGCAGGGAGGTGATCATCCCCCTGTACTCAGCACTGGTGAGGTCGCACCACGAGTACTGTGTTCAGTTTTGGGCCCCTCACTACAAGAAAGACATTGAGGCCCTGGAACGAGTCCAGAGAAGGGCAACAAAAATGGTGAGGGGTCTGGAGCACAAGTCTTATGAAGAGCAGCTGAGGGAGCTGGGATTGTTTAGTCTGGAGAAGAGGAGGCTCAGAGAAGACCTCATTGCACTCTACAACTTCCTGAAGGAAGTGTGATGTGGAGGGGTTTGGCCTCTTCTCCCAGGCAATGAACAGGACCTGAGGAAATGGCCACAAGTTGTACCAGAGGAAATTTAGATTAGATAAGGAAAAACTTTTTCTCTCAGAGAGTGGTCAGGCACTGGAATGGCTGCCCAGGGAGGTGGTGGAGTTGCCATCCCTGGCAGTGTTCCAGAGGCGTCTGGATGAGGAGCTATGAAATATGGATTAGAGGCTTGTGGTAGCAGTGGTGATGGGAAGACGGTTGGACTAGCTGATCTTGCAGGTTGTTTCCAACTTTGCAATTCTGTGATTCAGCTGAGAGAAAACAGAGCCCAGTACAGATGCCTACTTTAATCACTGAGAGCACTAAGTGTGCAGAGAGCCAGTACCAAACTTCACTAAGTAATTAAAATGTGAAACAGTTAACAGTAAATGAGATGTTAAGTTCTAGTATCCATATCTAGAAGCAATATTTAGGGCTCAAAAATTGACAGATGGCATTCTCGAGATAAAAACTCTTTACAACAGCTTCATATATTAGATTAATATGTCCATTGCCTCTTTAGTTACATCTACTGAGTTCAGCTCACCAGGTCTGCTGCAAGCTTGGTAATATAATCATCAATATTTAGTACAAGATGTCCATAGTTCTGGCAGCATGGTAATCAAACAAGAATCCTAGGAAACTCTCTTATAACAAGATTTGTAACTAACTTACAGATAAAATTCTTGGTCTCCACTTTGTATTTTAAATGATTATTTCCAGAATGAGGCATCAGTGAGGTTTGTTTTTTTCATTCTTAAGGATCCTTGACGGATGAATAATGGAGTGGGATACATACAACTGTATAAGTTAATGGCTTACAGATGAGCAGCCATGCAGTGTACAGCAATTCTATAATAATCATCTCAAGCTCCAGCTATGGCAGAAGTAATGTACGCAGACATTGCTTTTACACTGATGCTCCCTCCAACTGGATAATGCCTTTAATAATGTGCTTTACCTTTTGGCTAGCCTGAAGAGGTCAAGCAGTTGGACTTGATCTCCATAGGCCCCTTCCAAATGAACTATTCTATTCCAGAAGCATTTAAGAAGCAGGAAGATGCATCAACAGTTCAAAAACATCAGTAGGTTGTTAACTGCACAATATTCTTTTCATTATATAGGCTTGTATAGTCTTTTAAATTGAGAAAGTGGTTCAATCCCTCACTAGAGGCACTGAAGAAGCACTGATTTAAACACGTACTATTACAGGAATAGGTTATGGCACAGAGCCTAGGAACATACAATTGAAAAGAACTGCATTTTGCTGTCTCACATTGTGTTTCACAGAAGGCTATGTATTTATGGATCGAGAGGACTGCCAGTATTGAATTAAATAAGTGCCGTGAAAAGGAGTGTAATCACTTATCAGCACCTCACACTTTTCCCTGGGAAACAACATTTGAGTATAATTCAGCATTTCAGTGTTATGC